CCTCATACCCCTGTACTAAAGTAAAAAAAAGTATGTTGTTCCCGCATACGATGAGACAACTTCCTGGGCATTCAACATATTGTAGTAGGGTGGCCAGTTCCTTTCCACACCGCCTTTACTTCCCCAATTCGAAGTCAGGTACCCAATACTGCTAGGTGGGCAGGAGGGGAAGAAAAAAATCTGTGTCCGAACCGAGGCTCGAACCCGGACTTTCCGCTTTGGAGAAGAGCGCACTAACTGCTCCGCCACAGCACCCTCTCCCCCTGTACTGGTAGGAACAAATTTGTTTTATTTCTGCTTCAGTGAATAAAAGAACAAGAAATCAAGAAATTTTAGTGATTTTAGTAAGTTACAGTGACAACTTTTCCTTTTTAGGAACAAACCAGTTTCATTAAACATAAAACAATGAACAAAAGAATTTAAAAATGCACAGAAAATTGAGGTAGCCAACCTGGTACCGGTACTAATACTGAGAGTAATTTTCCATTTACAAAAAAAAAAAAAGGAAAAAAAAGAAGTTTCATTTAGATATCTAAATGAAATTTCTTATGATCGTCGGTCGTGGCATGCTGGAAAATAATAAACGGGGGGCATTGAATAAGGAGTGGGGGGTGCGGCAATAATCTGAAAATTAATAGTGAGGGGGGTGGGCGCTTGTTCGATACCTTAGAGTAAGATAAACAAAAACAAAAAAACAAACAAGAGAGATAAATGAGTGAGATCAACTTTAGAAATTCTTTATAAGATACTGACAGGCTTCTTCTGCAAAAAAATGTAAAGTAAAAACAGAAAACCTACATAGTACATAATGGCATAGTAATTTCCATGGAAACTCTCTCTCCCTTTCTCTTCTCTTCCCCCCCCCCCCCCCCCCCACCCTCTCTCTCTCTCCCTGTCTGTCTGTCTGTCTCTCTCTCTCTCTCTCTCTCTCTCCCCCTCACTGTCAGGCCCAGAGCATAAGCACACACAATTCATAATATAAAGGAATACGAGGGACATTACTAGACTGCTGCCTCTGATCAAAATACCAAGTTTATGACCACAGTACCCAACTAAATTAGGCTGAAGTGCTTATAGCCATAGAATGATAATGAAGTTGTAGGGCCTATTTATAACATACTGAAAGAATGAATAAGATATTTAACAAAATAACAAAATGTTCTGATATGAAAGCAGCCAGAAAATTTTGTTGAGTCTTTATTTGGCCACTCCACACAATAAACGAAAAAACAAAAAGAATTTGAAATTGGTTGAATAATCGCACTCTTGCTCTCACCTTCTCGTAATTTTGCCTACAACAAATCCAGACAAAGTTGAGACAATTCCGCTGTAAGATGTCATGTATCCCATTGTCTTTGGGGATGCAACAAACTTTTGCCTCAGAACCATGGAGAAATTGGTACGGAAGATAATTACAGAAAAGCCTGTGAAATACAAAGAGGTTAAAATTTACAGTGGTTAAGTTAAAAGTATGCAAGCACGTTTTACTCAGCTCAGTCAGCATGAACTACAGATTATATCTGAAAAAATATACATGTACAGTTGAACTTGTCCAAGACAACCACCCAAAGTTGAGAAAAGTGGTCATCTTATTTAATTGATCCCACAAGGGGTGCGGGATCGGACACAGGCGGTCGGCCGGGCTTCCTACAACAAGTGTGGGAAAAGACTCACGTGAGTTAACAGGTGGTTCTCTTGGACAGTGTCATTAAAATAAAGAAACAACGCAAGGGGAAGGAGGAGGGGGGGGGGGGGGGGATGAGAGTGTTTGTTAATATGGGAAATTGTCTTGGACAGGCGGTGGTTAGAGCAAATTCGAAAGACTGTATTCATTCTTTTTGTCGTCAGAAAAAAGTGTCAATGTCTTGGGTTTAAAAACGCAGAAAAAAGAGAGTGATGGATACGTCTTCGAGAGAAGGTTTCTGACTGGTGCTTGTGAGACTGCATGTAATCTTTGATTAGGCCTATGATGCGCAACGCGTGTGAATGCTGTAGAACACTACAGAAGCCTCTGTAGGAATAAAGATTAGTCAAGTAACCAGCTGCGCTTGAAGAACTTATAAAGAGCTTGTTAAAAAAAATAATAGAAGAAAAGTCTCTCAACTTGGAATGTCTGATTCTTAAGTCATCCACGCATTCACAAAGTTGAAATAGATTATAGGCAGTCGGGAAGTAGTCGCTTGGAAAGCCGCATGGCTGATTGCTCATCCCTATGACTATCACCAGCAGTTTCCTCATATATATCTGTTCTCGACATTTTATACCGCACATCTGTGTCAGTACAATGAGTTGGTCTTTCTGCACGAATGCTGTAGAACAATAGATAGGCTATAGGATTAATAAAGATTAGTCAAGTCAATCCGTTGTGCTTGAAGAACTTATATATAAAGAACATCTTCAACGAATCATGCAAGTGGTCACTTGAAAACCTGCATGGCTGAGCACTCTTCTCTCTATGACTATCAGCTATCACCAACAGTTTCCTCCTATCTGTTCCTGACATATTAGAGCACATCAGTGAGATGGTCTTTCTGATTTTTTCCACCCCTTATTCAACGCCTTTTGTAGACATAACCATGATAGGGAAATCCTTTATAAAACAGTTATATTTCATCGCGTTATTAGCAAAAGCGACAGCAAATCCCCAAGGGAGGTCACTAAAATATTTGAAAAATAAGATGGTTGTGTTCCTTTCCCCCTTTGCACAGGTTCACACGATGAACGCACAGTCTGTGTAAACTCACGCTTAGGAGCCCTCCCGTGCACCGAGCAGTGTATGCATTTAGGCCACTTTGAAAAATGTAGAAATTCAGATGGTTTATTCTATGTGCTCTTTGTAGGAGAATCTATTGTATGACAAAAGAGTATTGAACTAATTTAAAGAGGTGCAGGCTTTGACACACAGTTGGGGACAGATAACATGAACATAGAATCGGAAAACTTGAAACCATGGACAGCTTGTGCAATCTGACAAGCTCCAACTGATATCTCATTGATTTTTCCTGGTTAACCTGAATTATGGATATAATAATGTCGAATACATTTTGCTACCTCAGAAAATTACAAAGTTCTATATGCCCAATCCCTAGTTTTGAGAAGTTTGATGTCAAAGATTTTGAGATTCACATTATGTCAAGCCTTTCCAAATGCAATTATTTGAATATCTTGGTAACAACTCTGAAAGAGCAGACAGAACATTTGGTTTACTCACCTCATGGTCTTAGTGACTCAAAACAGCCAAAAATGTCATATAGAATTTTGTAATTATGAGGTGGCGATTTTTCAATCCCTGTATGAGTTATCTATGCCTGACTACATAAGGTATAGACTAGTGAGTGCACAGACTGACACACACAAGATATGCAAATGAGTATAAGATGAAAACACAGAGTTATCTATCAAAACAATACAAAAATAAGAGCCAAAATAATAACAAACCTGCTAAAAATTTGATCAGGAACAAATCCCATAATTGTACCCAATCAAATTCCCGGAAAGATTTAATGAGCTTGTCAAAGCTGAAATTGATCTCATCCGAGTTTAATTTCTTTAGCGAGAAAGATGTGTCACTTCGGTGCAGCGGCCCCTCAGCTGAATCTTCATGATGTGTCACTTGAGTGTCTGGGGGTACCACCCACCACACCACAGCTGCAGAGAAAGAAAAAAACAAAAAACCCACTTAACATTAATAAATAAAAATATACAATAATAAATAGCATTTGTACAGCACTCGACAGCAAACTCTATGCGCTATACACTACCTGCAGGTATATTATTTACACCAGCAGACAATAGAACACTCAGAAACATTCTCAGCTTCCCGGGAAACATACAGGGCAAGCAGCTGATCAAAAACTCAAACACTAACAAACTGACAAAATCTTTCGCTGTTTACAGCTGGGTACCCATTCCCAAGGACACAACCCACTTCAAAACTTCTTTTCACATCCTCTATCATCAGGCAATCTCTGACCACTAACTAACACTACTGAGCTTGAGTTAAAAGAAACACATCAACATAATTAAATAAGGGTCATTTAGTGTAGGGATAAAGTACAACAGACAGTCAGAAAAATAAAGAGAAAGGGAAAAAAAAAATACAACGTACTTGACCCATTGGGACCATCTGTCTAATCATTTAATTTTGTTTCATACAATACTATGAATACATGAAAAAACAACAACCCAGATTATGGATTTATATACACAGAAAACTACACTTGTGCCTGTAGAAAAAAAATAAGACAACAAACTTGTGGGATCTGCATGTATGTGGGTGATTTGGGACAAACAGGAGATCGCTGCTTGCAGTAGGAAATGTGTTAAAGGAAAGATCTGTCACTTTAAAGTGCAGCAAGAATGTGATATATTAGCTAGAAGTCATGAAGTCTTTAAAGACATGTTTCATTTGAACTGTTTAACTCTTTGTCTCAGCTGGGGGTTAACCCACTGTGCCGGGGCCCTCTTTTGGTACAAAATCTAAAAGTGACATTTTCGTCACTAAATTGGCCAGTAAATCAAAACAAATGAACCTATTCTGATACATAGTTCTTCATTTTAGTAAAGAACTCCCAGTAAAAGAGACCTGTTTTTTGGCAATTGCTGAAAACTACATTGTAATTAATTTGACGTTAAAGTAGCTGTAAAGGAATGTGTTCAACCCACTGCCATCAGTTCACAGACACAGCAGTTCTGACCGCGAGCCGCTGTGAAAAGCTTGCCAGAGATAAGGAGTTATTGAAATTATTAAATTATTTTGATGACCAAGTCCTGAGCATGCTACAAACACATTTTACAAATGTTTTCCCGCTTTGCAGCATGCCAGACAAACTGACCTCACAGTCTGGATTTGGCCCTCAGGCTTTAATCTGGTGGCACCGGCTGGCTGACTGTTAGGGATTTCAACATGGGTCATCTGTATAATACAGTGTGTGAGTTTAAAGCACTTATTTATAACGCGTGACCCAAAGACGAAAGACCTCCATGACTCATTAGACTACGGTGTACTTAAACTAACACTTACCCCTTAATTTTCCGTACTTACACAGTTCCGAAAGTGGCTTCTTTGCATATCGTACGGAAGTTTTATGGAACTTTATACGGCGATTTTTCTTTACTGATTTCAGTAAATTTACCGAAAAACAACATCACTCAACTTACCGCTATTGAGAAGGAAAACAAAACCAGCAGTGAAAGCGACCAGACTAAAACCCCACTGCGTCTCTGCCAGGTGGCCGCCACATATTGGCCCTACGATGAACCCGATGCTGGAGAAAGAGTTGAAGTTGCCGATGACTTCAGCTTGGTACTCGGGGCTCACAGAATCCGCCAACAGGGCCTTGCAGATTGTCTGACTGTGCTTGAAACATCCTACACAGAAGAGGAGAAAAAATGCTCTAATACTAATTGGTCTATAGACAGACACAGATAACATACGGTAACGGGTAACTTGGAAAACTCAAAGTCACGGATAGCTTGTACAATCTGCCACCATTTTGCAACTGAACTGCTATATTTTCTTTCAACTTTGTAATTTTGGAAAATAGTAGTAGAAAATTATTTAATAGACCTATACTATAACAACAGACTGACAAAGCAAGGCAGTTCCTGATACACTGGTAGATGAGATTTGAAAAAAATATCACATGACACTAACCTGACTTTTTATTCATAAGTGAAAAGCAAAAGAATGTATCATAATCAGTAACTACTTTCTCTTTTTGAAATGCAGTCGAAATTTTCCTGGACGGGAAAAAGCAGTTGTCCTAATAAAGGATGAAGGCATCTTGGACGACACCATTTTAATGTACCAAAAAAGAAAAAAAATGCAAGGGGATGAAAGTGGGAGTGCTCTTTAGTAAGGGTGACCATCTTGGATAATGATGTGGCTGTTGGAACAGGTTTGACTTTAGTTACTAAAACAGAAGCTGACTATGGTGACACTAAAATCACAACATATACACATTGAACCTACCCAGAACAAACCGTCCGATGAAGAAAATTGACAGTGCTTGGTAGAGTCCGAGAGTAGTGTAACCAACGGCAGTGAGCAGGAGACACATGTAAAGACAGTAGCGCCGGCCAGCACTGTCGCTCCAGTGACCCTGAAAAACAAAAACTATTACATCAGTTGTTTTTTAAATACATAATTGAACTTAATTCATGAAAGTCTCATTATATGATCCAGGTGTGAACTCAAAATGTATCAATATTAGCACCCATATTGTACGGGTATCTTTGATTTTTGTTTCTTTGAGTTTGAGTAAATATGAGCACACTCCCATAAATTATCATAATGGTTATAATTTAAATATGGAAAAAAAAGCAAGATGGAAAGACAGAAACAAAAGAAGGAAAGAAATGAAAAAGAACCTACTTGTGGCACCTTTTAGTTTTAGCAGAGGTTTATCGGCGCTCGCAACTGCATAAGGTCATATGAACGCCAGAAGATTAGAGGGGTTACAAGAGAGTAACAAACATAAAAAAAGAAGGGGAGACAAGGACGATAGGGGTTGGATAGGAAAGAAGAAGCAAACCACACCAGAGCTCCCTTTTACAGGGACAGATAGAGTCATGCACTTCAACAGAGTGATTTTTTCCTTCTATTTTACTTTGATGAAAGGGTAAGCACAGTGAAAAAACAAAAATCATTATAATTCCACGAAAGAGCAAGATGACATGTAGAAATAAAAGAGTAGTAGGACTTACTGTTGGTATCCAATAGCATTGACACTATCAAAAGTTGTAAAAGTAAAAGTAAAACATACAAACAGATTATCGGGCGTGCTCTTGTGGCCTAGAGGATAAGGTGTTGGCCTCTCATTCAAAAGGTCCCGGGGTCGAATCCGGGTAGCGGCCGAAAAATTTTCTTCTCTAAAAATTGCCTCCTTTCACCTCCTTTCCTGCTCTCTAGCAATGTTCTGTTGTCTGCTTTCGTTTCCACTTTCTGCCCCCACCCCCTTGCCTCCTTTGTCCCTTTCTCTGGGCTCCTGACTCTTTCTGCAGCCTTTCTACTGCTACTCCTTGGCTCCTCCTAATTGCTGTCTTTCTGCTACACCCCTGAACTTCTGGTAGGAAAGATCTACACTTAGCCTTCTCTGACAAGGGCGAAAAATCTCGGAGGGCCCGTGTGCAAGTTGCGCACATTAAAGATCACTTGGTCTAAGATCGATAAAGAGTAGGCTTCGGCCACCACCCGGGCAAAATTCAAAATTTCCTACCTACTGAAAATATTAGGTGTGTCCCGCGCGCTCATATGACCTTATGCAGTTGCGAGCGCCTTAAAAACACTTACCAAAACAAAACAGATTACCAAAAGCACAATTATGAGAACTGATATGCTGTATATCTGATGAGAGAAGTGATGTAAAGGAAGATGTTCTATAGAACAAATTTATGTATCCTTGTTCACAAAATAAGCAGGTCTATCTAAAAAATAACTCGAACCGGCAATGGCAAAATACTTACAACAACTGGACTGCTAAACAGTTGTAAACCGCCATACACTGATCCTAAAGAAACAAAAATGAAATTGCAACAGTTACATCATAAAGACTTTCAAGAATATTTCATTAACAAAATGGCAGTATTTATTTCTTAAACATTTATGCATCAGAAAGGATAGGAAGTACCATGAAGGTAAAATAAGGCATTTCTTTCATACTTTGAATATATGATTTTGACATAAAAACTTTTTGCATCCCTTTATCTTTGTTGATATTTAAAAAGACCTGATCATGTCTCTAATCGGCAAAAATACAGATCACAACTCGGAGACCATATTGTACCTTTACTTCACCTCAACTTGGTTTCACATCATTCAGACTACAGTGCAACTAAATCTTCAGTGTCCCCATATACCGACGTCTGAGCACAAGAAGTGACTATATTATTAATATATCCACTTTTCACAGCTTCCAGAACAACGGGTTCGAAATTTTGACTATATTGAAATCTCTAAAACACAGTCAAAAAAGAAACGATAATATTTCAATACCGAATTCAGCTACGGCTTAAAAGTTATTTACAGAGGTAAAAGAGCGGCTTCAAATCTTACTACCCGTGTCAATTACTCCATTTCGCCCAAAAGTGGATATAGTCACTTCTTGCGCTCAGCCATCGATACATGTGCACTGTTAATCATTCTTTGTATGTTTCATGCAACGCGTCCTACTTTCTCACTGAGACATATTGATAGAGAGATAAACTTTTCAATACATTACGTCTACCGTGGGGGCGAAGATACTACTTCGATAACATACCTAAAATACCAGCAACTGTCGGTGAAGCGCCCATATCAATAATCTGAGGCTGTATCAAGGGCATGATCATACTTACTCCAAGCAGATCCTGGAAGTAAATATCACATTTTTTTAGCTGAAAAAGCAGCAGCATTCATAAGATATAATAAGATCAGTTTTGTGGATCCATGAGGGAAATTTTGGAGATGCGAATTGCAATACATAGTTAAAAAAGTAAATTACATTAAATTTTTTCATACGGAAATTAATTACTGTAATTTTAAAGTTAAGAAAATACATTTAGTAGGCCTATATGAGTAGGCTTGTGGTAATCTTGTATGGTACAAAATGTAGGGTGATGAACAGGGGCATTCGATTTCAAGACTGACATAGAACATCATTTAGTCATTTCATCACCATGACATGACCACTTACATATGTATGCATATTTTCCGCCTTCCATCTATAATTATATTAATATCTGTTTCTACCTTGTGATAAGAATAAAATCTCATATCTTGCGTCTCGAATATCAGACATATCTAATCTAATATTGTGAAGACAAATTTCAACCCAGAAGAAATCAAGGTCAAGAGGCCTATTTTTTAACTTGACCTCTCTTTATTAAGTCTTAGTGCTATTAGCCTACTATATATTTTCCACATGTATTTTTTATTTTAAAAAAAATTATTACATAAGCTAAACATTTTAGCACAATGGGAAGAAAGAAGTCTAAAGAGAACAAGGCTAATTCTTTAGGAAATGCTTTTCTTCCCCTTCCATTGTTATTTCTTGTAAAAAAAAAAAAGAAGAGCAGCCAAGATGCATCAGACTTACACGGACTAAGCATTTATCATAAGTTAGAAAGGAGAACAAATGTTTAATCACAGATTTTTGCCTGTGCATGTAATCAGAATTGATGATTAAACATAACTGTGTAAAAACCAAAGCTATCAGTCTGAATCCAGGCTGTCCGGGTCTCAGTTCATGACTAAGCATAAATCATAAGTAGGCCTCTATAAAAAAGGGGAAAAAATATTTCATCACAGATTTTTTACTGTTATCAGTATGGTACCTAGTACGGTACATTAATTCTTACTTGATAGAATATGTGTCACGACGTGGAGGAATCGGGCGCTCCTCAATTTTTGGGCACGCGGAGTTATTGGTTTAAGCTCAAAGCTTGTTAATTAATTTGCCTTGCTTTTGATTAAAAAAAACAAAACATCTCTATCTTGAATAGAAGTCAAGATATTTTTGCGATTGAAAGACGTCGTGGGAGTATCCTGATTTCAGAGGTAAAATTAAGAGAAATGGATGAAAAGTTGGGTAAGTCAAGTTCATTGTCTTGAGAGGCCTTGAAAACAGATAACTTACATAATTTTGTGCCTTTAATGTCTTTCAGTAAAATTCACACATTGGAATGAGATTTTATATAAATGGACAAAAAAGGTAGGACGTCACGCCAAAAAATAAAAATTCGATAACAGCCGAAATGGTGAAAAATTGTTTACACATGATGTCTTCGCTCTCATTATTTTGACGAGCCCCTGATTTCACCATGATGGCTCACATAGGCCTATATATAAAATGTAATCCAAAGTCATGCAGTTCAAATCCAGGCTGCAGCTCCGATCATGCCCATAGGAAATAGACTTTCATAACTTTCTCAGACTTGCAAGCAGAGGCAAACAAACATGCAAAAGAAATCTAGATCCATTCATATTCTTGTCCAGATGGTGATCTTAAATCACATCATCTTTACAATTTGCTGCATTCGAAACAGGGAGACTAATACTAGGGATCGAGCCATTCCAGGACAAATGAAAGAGCTATCACTACAGCCTGTCATCATGGTAAGCAGATTAGCTTTGTTAAAGGAAGTACTTCAGGGTATAAGAATCAAGCATCAACAAAGCCAAAAGTGTGTCTTCTTATAATTTTCTGAACTGCTCGGCGGAAACCATCATTCATTATTTTCCTTTTATGATGTAATGATAATTGCTTTTATTTGAAGAAGTACACAGTACAGTACACAGTTCAGGATTAGGTCATCTCAAGTACATACCAAGAAGCCGCTAAGATAAAATATATGCCGGAGATTTTTATTTTGGTCATTTTCCTTTCGGGGGCGAAGGTCTGACATAGCTGTGTCCTACTTTCCAGTCGGCAAAAGATAGGTGTGAAAAATGAAGATGTGGACAAAATCCCTCGCAACTCGCATTGTTTACATTTAGTTACAAAAGGGGGAAAACTCTAATCTGAGAAGGGAATGCACTCTGAAAAACAACGATGTGTCGGCGTGATATAAGCAGAGACACTAAAATATATTTTAGTGTCTCTGATATAAGTTTGTTATGTCCCCTAGACCAGAAAAATCAACATTATGAGCGGTTTGAGGCGTGGGGAAAATTAAATATTTTATTTCGGTACATCTGAAACGGTCATGCTTTAATATGACTGTGTATTGGCAATGCTTGGTCTAAAGGCATCAGCTGTCTAGGTCTAGGTGCAATTTAAGCCTCCTTCTCTTCTATTCTTTATCTTTGTAGGCCTATATTGTTTTCGGTATTTTCTTAGGTCAGGACTAGACTAGATCTAGATCTAGGGGGCATTCTAAGAAGTCATTCTTTATTTTTTCCCCATTCATTAAGAGTTACACAAAACATAAGATTGCCGAGGAAATACGTAGGTAAGAATATTGATCATTTTCTGAAAGTGTTAACTCTAAAAAACAAAAAAAAAACCCAATAAGATACAATTGTGTCAGTCTTTTGCTCTTGGACAGACGGAGCATTGGTGCCTTTCACTTATAACCTACACACAGTGGCGGCTCGTGGTTTATAGAACTGACCGGCCGTCATTCACGTCGACTATTTCTCCCTCCCCCACCCCCTTCCTTCACAACACACACGCACACACACACACGCACACACACACACACACACACACACACAC